GCTAATCATATTACAAGTAATATTCTACCACTGGCCATATGCTCAAATCTAGTCGGCTGTAATAAGTCACACATTTTCATAAAATCCCATCTGCCAAGTCAGTGATTGTGTGGAACTAGAAGAAAACAGTTTGTAAAGTGTGCTCAGTGAGCCACGGCCACCTTGTAGGAGCAGGGGATGCTGTACTCCTGACAGCGGTCGTTGATCCAGGTGTTCTCCCAGGTGCTGCGGTGACTCTGCTCGTAGGTATAGCAGGCTAACAGGGTGACCAGTGGGACCAAGTAGAGGCAGCTGAACACACCGATGCGGATCATGAATTTCTTCAGCTTCTCCTGGTTGCGCTCGTCGTGCTGGATGACCTGCCGGACGTGGTTCAGAGAAACGATACCTGCCAAGATGAGGAAGAGGCCGACTATGACGCCGACACACAACGGAGCAATAACAAAGTAGCGCAGTGCGTCCAGGTCGTAGAGCCCCACAAAGCAAACTCCACTGATGTTGTCTCCTTCAACCTTGTTCAGAGCCAGCAGCATGACGGTGAGTGCGCCGGGGATACCCCAGGCAGCAGAGTGGAACCACACCTAAGGACAGAAGAGACAAAGAGCAATACTGTCAACACTATGTACATTACATTTATGCTGTAATGTACAATTAAAAAGTATATTCTACATTTCATTGCTGTATTCTCTCGCTATTAGCAGCTGAGAAATGACTTTCAATTTTTAAGAACCTTACCGCTTTCTTCTCAATGGCCTCACAGCTCCACTTGGGTCCAGCAGCCAGGAACCACGTGATGGTGAGTATGACCCACCAGACAATACCAGCGATGGAAAAGAAGTAGAGAAGCATAAAAAGTAGAGTGCAGCCTTTGCTCTGAGAGCCCAGCACCACTGTGTCCACGCTAGTAGTATGGGCTGCTTTGATGCAGGCTGCATTGTTCCCCAACAGGAAACCAATAAAGTATATGAGCGAGACAAAGCTGTAGCAGACGGCGTAGAAGATTATGGGGCGTTCTGGGTAGCGGAAACGCTTTACATCAATCAGGAAAGTGAGGAAGGTGAAGAGCGTAGCACCCAGGCAGATGATGGAACACACGCCAATGAAACTCTTGGCAAATTCAATGTCATGGGGTTTGAAGTACATGTTGGAGCAAGGTGGAGCACAGTCCTGGGCACCCAGGAATGAAGAGCCATGACCAGGCTTGGTCTTTAGCTGCAGGGGGCACCAGAAACCAAGGTCTCTCTTAGATGATGAGGAGATCGTTGGAGTGGTTGGAGAAAGCACAGAACCATCAGATAAGCTGCATGTCTCCAGCCTGGAGAATAAAGACAATAACAGGATAATGGAATGATCACAGAGCTGTACCACAAAGCATGTTCAGCACAGCCAGGCTTTCAACGTGAAAGTCAGCGATTGTAACTTATTAACTTTCTTTGTAAACCCAGGCTTTCTGCTCCAGACTCTCTGCATGTTCAAATAAAAGGGGGCCTATAACACGTCATGTGACTCTTCTTTTGCACACAATAGACCGACGATGTGCCCCTTACTTCAGCTAACAGGTTATCATAAGAGACAGCTACTAGGAATTTTAAAAAATTATGACAGTAAAAAGCTATTAATGTGATGCAAGAAAGGAATGTTGGTAGAAAACTGTTAATCATGTGTTGATGTTACCGATCAGTGCAGCTGCTTACTTATAACAGAACAGCTGTACATTAAAGCTGATAAATTTTAAATTTCATACTTTAAACAGGATGTTGTATTGAGGTACATTTAGGTCTGTCCATCAACGCAGGAAGTCACTTTACCTTCTGGTCAAATCAGAGTCAAATTAAAGTTACTGATTGTATATCCTCTGTAATAAATACCAATAGGCTAATCAATTTTCCAATCAATGTTCAAGTAGCTACAGTACCAGCAGGGTAAATGAATTTGGCAGCAAGTCAGTACCAAGGAGAAAAATTATGCTTTTTCCAACTGAATACATGTACATCATCAGCTGACAATCTCTATTGCTCACTGAGAAATGTCAGAAACTAATTAGTAAAAGAGAGACACCTCTGGCAGCCAATTTAAACCGAAAACTCTGAGCATAGCACGTTAATGGCACAGCATAAGTTGTCATGGTGATTTAGCCAGATTAAAAGAGAGGCACCTTTGTGACACTAAAAACTCTGATTTTAATCTTGCTACATAGTACACCCCTTACGAGTTATGGGCAGTGACCTTCTGGATTGTTTGCTGATGTTTTCTTACTTGTCACACTGTAGCTCAGGAGGCCAGGTGACACCAAAGACGCGGATATCTTCCTCGCAGTCGGACAGAACAGCCTCACACTCCTCTCTGCATGGACGGATCACGTTGTTCTCTTCGGTGCATACTGGGAAAAAGGCCTGGCACAGGAAGTGGTGGACGTCCGGAGAGCAGCGCAGGCTTGCCAGGGGCATGAATGGCTGGAATTGGAGAGATGAGTGACATTATAGTCAAAATCAATTGCTGCTACGAGAGCTGTTATTGCAATCCCTACTTGAGTAAAGTTGTCTAAAAGTACATGAACTTGTTATAGTGCTATTGATGAATGTCACGGGATTGCACAGTGGAGCAGACGTTTGCACCATTGCCTTGCAGCTAGAAGGTCCCTGGTTTACGTCCCAGTTGGGACGCTTGGGAGCTTTCTGTGTGGAGTTTGCATGTTCTCCCTGTGCAGCGTGGGTTCTCTCCGGGTTCTCACCGGCTCCCTCCCACAGTCCAAAAACATGTTGAGGTTAATTGGTGATTCTAAATTGTCCGTAAGTGTGAATGTGAGTGTGCTTGGTTGTCTGTCTCTAAGTGTAGCCCTGCCATAGACCGGCAACCTGTCCAGGGTGTCCCCTGCCTTCGCCCTAAGTCAGCTGGGATAGGCTCCAGCCCCCCATGACCCTAGTGAGGATTAAGCGGTGTATAGATAATGGATGCAATTGAGATACAAATTTCATAACCTGAATAGTGTGCAAAAACAGATAAATCTGAAGAGTTCATAGCCATCTTTGTGACCTCAAAACCAAAGTTACTGCATGATTTGTCGATATGCTACTCCCTAAACAAACCACTGCAGCATGTTACATCTAAATCGGGGTCACAAAAATTATATGAACTAAGAATAAAACATTTTTTTGACACTGATATTTTTGTTGATCAAATTGTCAGGAATTAAAATGCATAGATTTCTGTCCATAAGGTAACACAGATTCATTACAATTCCTGTATTCAGACAGATCATGCTTAATGTTGTGCAGAGTCAGCTCCCAAAGGCCCATTCTGGTCCAGGAAAAACCCTGTTAATTCTGTTTCTGACACTTTCCAGCTGTGGACTATCTTTGTAGATGCTTCCAAGACATTTTATGGATGTTACAGAAATCTGCTGTCTGCCTGAATCCAATATTTCCAAAGAATGCACTGTTCAACACTGCTCTTCTTCTTCTACACTGAGGTAGTGGCCTTTACACTTTCTGGATTTATTGGTTGTAAACACTGACGTTGCCCCAGGAAAACAGTAGCAATCCATAAGATACAGAAAGCACAGTTGAAGATATATAATGTATACAAATAATGGTTTGATTTTTCCCTTATGATTTGCATGTGAAGCCTATGACCAAATATTGCATTGTGTAGACTGCTGAGGTCAGAACAGGAGCTTCTGGTTTGCAAGATGATAGAATATTACAAAGTCAGAAAAAAAATTATGAACAAAGTGAGATCCATTTTTAGACATTCCCATACCTTTGCTTTTTTGATAGTAAATGGAAAACTTTTGTTTAATTTTTTCTAAACATTATTAGAACAGAACAAAACTGGTGGTGGATTACAAGTCAACTTTGCTTTATTTAAAAGGTCACAAGTCAAAAAGGTTTGAGAAACCACTGCTCTACACCGAGTCTTAACTTCATTTTGTTAAACTGCAGTGCCCTACAGCGTCACACAAAGCTGCCCATTCACTAGTTGGAAACCATATTCCTCTGTTTCAACACGCTGGTCAAGAGCTTAAGGACTGAATGCGGAGGGGAGGGGGTGGTATAGGTTGCAGGAAATGAGTGCATGGACATTTGGAAACACACAGCGACAGGCCAAGAATGCACAGAGCTGTTCATAGGTAGGTTGCTGAGGAGCCAGAGAATGTGGGAATTTATCAGCTGCGTAAAACTGAAGAAAACTCTATTCTAGTTAACTGAATCCAGCTATTGGCCATGTCATCTTTAAATAATAGTACACATTTCAGAAAACGGATTACAAACATATGGTACACAAACATTGAAACTGTCACCAGTTCTCCCTGTAAGAGCCCCTCGATAGCTACAAACACATGCTGGATGGATGTTTTAGAATACTCTTGGTTTCAACTTGATGAACTATCATCTGACTTCCTAATTAGAAAGACTACTGTCAGTATAAACTACTCATATTTGTAGAAAAAACACACACATACGCTAGAGCACAGTCCACCATTCAATGTCTCCTTTCCTCTTCTTCCTCCTGAAATCCAGTCTGGCAGTAGGCCCACATCTCTGGGGCCTGGGCATGCCCCCTCTGACAGTAAGCGTCCTTGTTTCTCTCCTGTGGAGGTCCTGGACTCCGAGCTCCTCGTGGTTCAACAATCTGACCTTTATTGGCTTTACAGCCGTTACTGTAAAAACTGCCCTCATTTCAGAAAGCTTCAATCAGGATCAGCTGTAGAAGTCGAGCTGATTTGCTATTAAGGCAAAATCCTTTGCAGAGAATTTCATAGCAAAGTACTTCATGGATTAAATGATTTGAAAAAAATGACTAGGCTCTCACTTTCCAAAGTTTAAGTCAAACTTTTAAGACCCTCAAGTGTTCCCTGTCCGTTACAGTTCGTCAATTAGTCTTTCCATTCTCTTTGTATTCTAACACTTCAAACTTTTCTGTTTCAAAAGCTGGCAAACACTGCTGGAATCTGGGACCAAGGGCGGAAAAAGGTTAGCCCTCCTCCGGAAAATCCTACTGATAGGCTGGCCTGAGCCCAGAATAAAGCAGAAGTCTGCCTGATTCCAGCGTCAGGGCTTTGTGATAAATCACTGCACACTTTCAAAGAGCGCTATGCTCAGTATGTAATATTGAATGTAGCCCCAAGAGTAAGATTGTCACCTGGGAGACAGGACAGTGGAGGTAAGACCATGTACAGGGGGAAATGAGTGAGTGATTAACAGAGAGAGAATACTCATTGTGGTATGCACGGTAGGCTTTGTGTGCGACTGGGTGTGTCCCTCCCCTTCCTCCAGATATCAAAGGCCTTCACAACAAAGTCGATGGAGTTGCCCGTGGCCAAGGTTGCTGTGAAATAAGAAGCCTATACCTTTGCCAAATGCCTCACAAAAGACTCCTTCAACAGATCACTGTTCATCCTCAACATGCTGACACCAAATGTGAGTAACCCAAACCCAGGCCCTGAGGAATGCCAGGACACAGGATGCCACTGCTAGAGAAACAGAGTGCATTGCTGAGGAGGGACACAAGACACGACCTGGTCGAAAGGCACATCAGACAAAGTGTTGTAGCATCATATACTATGTTTTATATGAGTAAGGCAGCATAAAGAATTTGCATATAACTTTAAAAAAAAAAAAAGCTTACACCATCCAAAACCTAATATTGAAGCAGCACTGGGCAGTAGCTAGACATGCATTTGACCAGATTTGTATGAAGAGGAAAGACTATTAGCCTGAAGAGAAAAAATGAAAAGTTGAACTGAGATTTCAATTCTCCTAGGTTTGGTGTAATGTAATAACAACTAGGATGATACTGCAGCTGTTGTGCATGTTATTCCATTGTTTCAAACCAGACTAAATTGTTGGATGTAGCCTAACAATGTTTAAATTTCCATTGTGTCCCAAGGCACACACTTCTCAGAGCAGCAGCTGAGTGTCATATGAGAGCCATTGTTGCTTAGAGACAGGCAGTCAACTTCTGTGGTGCATTACTGACTGGAGCATGTCATTCTTTATGTATCCTACAGATGCTAAAATATGACTTATTTTATAACTGTGAGGACCCCCATGTCTTTAATTTGTTCAAAAACCTTGACTAATTAGCTTACTAGCTACATTTAGTGGTCTTTCATGGGTCCTGACTTGGAGATTCTGGCAAACTGCCACACTGTCAGGTCATGGCAACAAGCCCTGCAATATACAAAGTCACACAATAATGTCCTCAGTTAGGCTAGATTAGTTATTTTGACATTAAAAAAAGACTGTTTGACTGGACTGAATTATATATATTTTTGTGTATCTGCCTTTTGCAGTTGACATCAGGGCACATTTAATTTTTCCTCTGTTTTGTAACAACATAAAAACTAAGCGTAACACAACAACACTAAAAAGAAACATTTTAACATCGATTTGAGCATTGAAAATGGATATATTAGGACGTCACTTTCAGTTCTAAAGGGCTGTTATTTTCTTTTACACACACACACAAATATATAATACATTTAACTTCACAAATGTTTAGCCACTGTATTTTTCTGTGTGCCAGTTAGAACTGAAGCAACAGACGCTTTTTTTTTTGAGTGAGCACAGAAGCAGAAGACAACCAAAAATGACTGAAAACATATGAGAAGATCGCCAACAAGCTGTAAAAGTAATTAAAGCCGCAAACAGTGATGGACGGGTTCTCGCCATACGATTGTCGGCCTTCGTGCATGTCAGGGTTTGGCAGACACTTGCTCTGGGCGAGACTCTAAACTGATGTGTCGAGTTTCGGGCAGATCAGAACACGTGCGGCCTCATTACGAGCCACTTCCTGTTTAGTGGCGATCCATGGCGGCGTACGTGTTGGCCGTGGCGGAAATGCGCTCCGGCTGAGACTCGGAGCACGTGTGTAAAGTTTCAGGCCGATCGGAGCACACACAGGCCAGTTGCACAGCATGTCTTGTTTTATGGCGTTTTGGCAAAATCCCGTGGGTTGCCATTTCCACGCCGTCAGACTTTTGCACAGCAGTTCAATGACTTTGAATCACCACCACCTGTAGTTTGTGCTGGCCAAATTTTAGGTGTATATGACCGTCCCTGTCGGAGGAGACAGATTTTTAAAATGCCCAAAAATGAGCGAAAATCTCCAAAATTTTCCACGTTTTTTCAAAATGGCAGACTTCCTGTTGGGTTTAGGGCTTGGTATTGATTGACTTTTTTTTTAGTCCTGACCTGCTACACATGCCTACCGAATTGTGTAGGTCTAGGTGAAACGGCCTTCCAAAAGGACTCCATTGAATGCCGGAAACACAGCAAAAAAAAATGAGCAAAATGGCCATTCATCGAAATTGCGCGGACTGCCATTTCCAAGCCCTCACACTTTTGCGGAGCGTTTTAATAACTTTTAATCACCATGTCCTGTAGTTTGTGCTGGTCAAATTTCAGGTGTGTACGTACGACGTACCCCCTAGGAGGAGATGTTGAAAATGGCCGACATGCTTGCCATTTTTCCAACATGGCAGATTTCCTGTTGGGTTTACAAAAGTGTGCTGATGGACTTTATTGTGCGTCCCGAGCTGCTACATATGTGTACAGGTTTTTGCAGCTCTACGTCAAACATAGCCCCGATGGGACTCTGCTGAAATATTGTGGGGGGCGCAGTTAGGTCGTGTTGCATTTTCGAGCTTGGAGCTGGTCAATTTTTTTGTTCGTCCTGATCTGCTCTATATGGCTACGAAATTGCGTAGCTCTAGGCCAAATGTGCTTGCGACAGGAGTCCATTGAAATTTTCAAGGGGGCGCTGTGGAGCCATTTTGGCAGTAACATGTCCAATTCCTTTAAAATATACACATTTTTGCCAGTCCTGGTGTGTGTGGCAATTTTGGTGAGTTTTTGGGCATGTTCAGGCCCTCAAAATCGCATTTGTTTGGGATGAAAAATAATATTAAGCCCAAGGGTTTCAACAGTGTCCTTGCACTGGTGTGCTTGGACCCTAATTACTGGAAAATGTTCACTATCCCAAGAGGAAACATGCTTGTTAGCTCAAAGCACAGAATTAGCTGTTATGTCCAGTGGTCTGGTCAGAGCCATTGATTTTATGATTAAGACTGTTAACACACTTAATGTGTGTTCAAAGCGGTTACATGAACACTGCTAATATTTGCAAGGCTCTGTGCTTGGCATCCATTCAGAGTTTCAGTTTGGGAAACGGTGATGGGAGAAATATTGGAGTCTCATATCATGACCTTGTGGAGCCAACAACACTGATTAAATCATGTATGAATGCATTTGTCCAGAGTTAAGCTCTGTCTATTTACACTGCATTCACCTCTAATATGAATTTTTAAAATGAAAGAAGTCTGTCATATTTTAAGAAAAGAGCAAGATTTCCACTAGCAAGATTTTACACTACTGTTTAATATTTTTATTTTTACTTTATCCTATTTTTATTTTATTCTATTTTTTGTCTTCTTTTATTTTTATTTTTTTTTATCTTATCTTGTTGCACTGCATTCTTTGCACTACCACTTTAGCTCTGGATCTGGGAAACGCTGTCTCATTTCACTGTGTACTGTACAACTGTATGTGGTTGAAATGACAATAAAGCCCTTTGAATCTTGAATCTTGAAATATTATTACCAGAATGAGCACAGCAGCGCTATAAACTTCTGCTGCAGGCCAACAGTATGCCAATGGCGTTGTCTTTTTTTTTAATGACAATGCTAAATGTGTGAAGGGACCTGCTGCTTTTAGCACTCTTTAGTAAGCTCATGATCTGTGTGAGCAGCATTATCATTGCTACTAGCTGCAGTTTCTCACTGGAATGTGTCATGCTAGGTGACCAAAGCTGAGAGATGCATGTCAAATGTGGAGTGTGGTTTTAAAAAATTTATGCAATGCAAATATGTGTGTCACAGTGACACACATCCTTGTATTGCATAACTTTCACTGTCTAGAGGTGACACAGTCAGCTCTAAGCAGTAATTTTATGTAGGTAGTAATAGAGAAAATGCCCATCCGTAATCTTTGATAACATTGTGGAAACTTGCATTCTGCCCCCCTGTTGCAAGCACATCCTCAACTGTTCATAAATCCATCTATATTGCAAATAATCTTTATTTCCCACGAGTCAAATGACACTACCAACGTCATGAGTCACTACTTCTTGTTACCACAGGCATGAATAAGAAAGTTCTTCCTTAATTTTCTTTCCATATTAAAGGAACCTTAAGGTGCATTTGCAGTGGGAAGACCCTCAGTGACTTTTATTGTGGCAATGATGTCTAGTTTTTAAAAAGTAATCATTATAGCTGACAATCCAGAACAAGTGTACAGATTCACAGTCATAACCACATGGACAACAATGCAGTGTTAAAGGTTTATTGATGAGATAGTGCTCCATAAAAATCCGGCCTGATTTGTGGACAAACAGTGGCTGGTAAATACTGTGTGCCCATTGATGTCCATCACAAAATGGTAATTATGGCTCAGTCAATATGTGCTTCAATAAGTACTGACAGGCACCGTCAATTCTAGCTATTACCAGCACTAATTGTAGCACTAATATTAGTAATTATTTAAAGACGATGTGCATGTAACTTGAAGAATCTTTTCTTTTCACAAGCACAGGGAGCTTTTCTTCTGATATATCTGGTATTAGTGCAATACACACTTCCACCAAATTCAGCCTAAGGCATTTAATTTTTGTTTTTCAAAACTTTAATAACCCTGCCAGAATTTAAAATAATATGATATGGGTTTGAACAATTTTTGGCATTTAGTCAAATACTGTTCACACCCAAAACTTTGACATTATATTGACTGGTTCACTTAATGCCACAACAGAATAGTAAGAATAAATCTGTAACACAGTGGGTCCTGAAATTAAGAACTGATTTCAAAAAATAGAAAGTGAACAATAAATAAAATATGCATTTAAGATTAAATGTCACTGCATATTTCATAGCAAAAAAATGTGTATAATATTCTAAAATATGTCATGTAGGACTCACCTCCATATTACTGGCTGCAATATCCTGATCATAGTGCTCCATCATGTTGGGAAAGAAGGTCATGTTGTAGGGCATCCCCAAACACCGATGCACTCTGATAGGCTCACAGGTAAACAGACTGTGGGAACTGCAACTTCTCACCCATATCAGAGCCAGGCACACCCACAGTGGTCCTGGCATCAGCATGGCAACGGTTGATCGGGAGCGAGTCTGTTTTTTTTGTTTTTTTTTAATAAATGAGAACAGGTTTCTTTTTGGCTCTGTGTGAGGATATCTTGGCCCGAGCGTTAAATTCCACTGGCTCACACTGTCATCCACAGATCAGTTCTCCTGGGGACATCTCAGTGGAGCCGGTAGGGTGTTGTAGCAGGAAAAACTCTCTCGTCATTGGTCAGCGTGTGCCTCTGGGTCTCAGATAGGACTCCCACATCCCTGAAATGATTGAGGTTATGGTGAATTGGGTTTCCATTTTCAGCTACACAGAGGAGTTGCTTGTTTTGAATCCCAACCCATTTTTCAACAAAAATTTGTTGTAGTTGGTTATTACCAAATGTACTACAGAACAGCAGAGTGGGGATACGATGAAGCTGTATCATTAAAACAGTCCGTCGTGCATTGTTCCATCACCAGGACAATGAAGTATAGCCATTCTTTATTATTCCAGTGCAGCCCTACAGGTCCCTTGAGGTCCTCAGGCTAGAAGTTCGGAAGCACTTTTTTTTTAAAAGACAGATCAGTCAAATGGAATTAAGGGAGCAAGATCCAGTCAATCCCTATGAGGACTGTGGGTGCATGCATTTACACAAGGTGGGGAATGCTAAAGATCCACGCTGATTCAGTAGAATGAGTCTCAGCTTGTTGATGCACATTAAATTTCAAGTTGAAGTGTGAGGGTTCCACACACGCTTTCACATTATGAGCAACTAAGACAGAATGTAACACTTTCTCACTTTCAGCTAAAGCAAAATATCCATTTGTTTACAGTTACTGATGATGAGTTCACATGGGCCACATAGAATATATAGACATACCTACATATTTGATACAATTTCTGGTTATATTCTCACATGTATAATACAATAAGAAGTATCTATAGATGTCTATGTACAGATATTGTCCTTAAAGAACGGACAGATATGTGGTTTATATAAGTGCTTGAATTCCTGATAATTACCATATGCTGGTGTTATCACTGGTGGTAGGAGATTATTATTACTGCACCACTGTTTATGCATACAGTTCAGGAACCTCCATAGTATAAAGCTGTGTAAGTTCCTAGTGCTGCACTACAATACTTTATAGAGCATTTACAGCTGCTTATTAGCATAACACCTTTAGTAGCATATTAGCAGTGATTAAAAAGACAACAAAAGTTAGCAAAGAAAACAACACCGTCACAGCAACCCAAATGTACAAGTGGGTGAAAACAGCATTATTACGTTGCTGTTATACTTCTGTTACGTCGCTTTTTTTGGTAGCTAAATACTTTTAAGGACATGTTAGTCCACCGCCTGCAGGAAAAGCCGTTTTCACGTAAATTAGACACCAACTGTCGGGAAAGAGAGTTCAGTCTACATCCCTGCTTCGGTCGCTGACACGGGGAAAGGGGCCCGAAACAACTTCGCTACAAGAAAGCAGAAACAAAGTAAGTAGGTCAAAATACCAAATATAAACACTTACCCCCATATGCCCGAGAGTTTATGTAAAAGTTGACTACATGGATACTCGTCAGAGCAGTTCTGTTCGGAATTCGGTGGCGTGTTTCCTGCGATAAGCTCCAGAAACGTCCCTCCGTCTTTTCTTGTCCGGCTGCTCTGAGCTGACGCTGCGTTCAGGTGCAGTTGGAACTTTTTGCAGTTATAGAACAGGTTTGACTGTCAGCACACAGTCACCCTCAAACGTTTTCATACCCTTCCATTAAAGAAAAGGAAAAATTCACAAAAGTCACTCAAATAACTGCAGACTGAAAAAAGTCATAATACATGAAAAAAAGGTAAATTATAATTTGGTGAAATAAGATATTGCTTTTGAATTGTGGTTGAAAAGAACAAAAAAAAACTCTCCCGGACAATTTAGAGCAATTTGCTGATGAGCAGTGAGCCAAAATGATTGAGAGTTACAGAAAACACTTGATTGCAGTGATTGTCTCAAAGGGTTGGTCAACAAAATATTAGTTTCGTGGTTCCATCAGTCTTGTTTGTTTTTTTGTTTTTTTGTTTATTTATATATATGTTCAACCACAATTCAAAAGCAATGTCATGATTTATTTATTTTTTATTATCTTATTTCAGTGGCAGCTGTTTTTTTCCTTCTTTAATGGGAGGGTATGAATACATTTGAGGACGACTGTATGAACAGATAACAGCTGGCGTGTTGTCGAAACAACCAAAGCGATACAAGACAAAGAGTTGTATCAGGATTTGTCCTTTAAATGATATGCGTTTTTAGTGGTTCGCAATGTTTGTGTATTTTTGGAATAAATTATTTAGACAACAAGCTTAGACAATAGCACACCTAAAAGATTTTTGTTTGTTTGTTTGTTTTACTTTCTAGACTATCGTTTACATTTTCTAAACTTCTAGCTCAAAAGCTCTTGAATGTCTCAAACAATCCTAGCAATAACGAAGTGCACTTGAACGCAGCAGTTGTGCAGTTTACACATGGCAGAGCAGACTGAGTAGATCTGTGGATCTAAAACTGGGTTTCAGGGCTTATTTAAAAAACAAATGCATAGTCAGTTTAATTTACATTTATTTATTTATTTATTTTGCTAAATTCCGTGGACTGCACACTCGTATCATTTTATTTTTGAGATTGGTAACCGAGGATGCTGGTGTAGTTTCCATGAATACCACTAGATGGAAGTCACAGATGTGTCAACTCAGTTCTGAAAGGATTAAAGAGAGCCACTGTAGCAAATGAAAAGATTACCACATAATAGTAGAAAAACAGAGCTGCTAATTCTTTAGATGCTTCCAGGAGTATATAAACACACATTGACATTAAACAGTAGAATCACAGCTGAGTGCAACAACAATGCTGTAAATTATCACAGGGTGTGTTTTCTTTTTATAATCTGTCATTAGTGGAGCAGGACGGAGCAAATGTGCAGCTGTACATCCCCCTGGAAATACTACGAGGACCCCTAGTGTCCCTGCAGACGCCTGTTGTACTGTAGGTAGTAAACACACAGGCATCGATGCGCTTTGCCATGTCACTGTCATCCACCTGGCGGCGCTCTCTCCCGACCGTGTCCACATTCATGTGACCGTCGTGGAGAGGCGGGGTTTTAATGTAACAATTTAGGTGCTACAGTGTGTCCAATAAAGTGTCGGCGATAACTGAGCGCATCTGCTGGCTGCTGCACTCCGCCTTCGCCCCGCCGCTGATGCAAAAGAGACCGAGCTCGGACATCAAATGACATTTGTAGCAGCGGCGCCGCCAGAGGGGACGGGACCGACTCATAACACATTCATATGAGGTGCGTAAGCTTGTGCCACATTAACATACAAGAGAGATGAATACTGTAAAATCCTGCCCAGGCTGTAAATGGATTTTGATGTGGATTTATTTTGTGGTTACACTCTGGATGCAACAGGATGATTCCGCTCGTACGGGGAGAGCTTGTTCTCTTCTCCGTACCCATAGTTTGTGGACCGAGGCGCTGGCCTGTTGCTAGGAGACCTTTTGACAGCTGGGAGCATTTGGAAAGTGACAGTTAATACACTAATGGTGTCATGCTTATCTGGCAACCCAAACCTTCCTCCTCCTTTCTCCTTCTCACTTCAGTTCTCCTGCGCGCTGTTGCTGCGTAAATCGTAACTGTGTCTTGTGCGTAAAAGGCAACATTAACACCGTGGTGGTTTTCCCAGTCAGGAGATTACAGGGGTTTGCAGCGAACAATGGCCTACTTGTTGTGATTATCAGATTCTAAATATATCCACCTATTTTTAATATTTTTTTAGGCTCAAGTCTCAATTAGATTAAAAAAAAATCCAAAGGTGTGATGTGTTGAATTTGATGCTATATGCAATCAGAACTTCAAGAACATACTGAGGACATTTATTTCAGACAAGAGGAACAATCCTGGTGATTTTCTGTTTGCTTTATTTACCTCCTTGAGACCACCATGTAGGTATGGCATATGTGCAGCATGGGCTGGTCCCTTTTGAGCTGGACCCCGTGTCATCAGGGTAAGCTCCTTCTTGCCTGTGGCCGTATCTGAAGGTCACTTATGAACAGATCGATCACTACATCTCGCAGGGGACTACACTCAAGAGCAGCCAGTGGTACACTCAGCCCTGCCTACACTTAAGGTGAACCGCATATATACAGGCTGCCTTCTGTAAAATCAGCATTTAAGAGTAATGTACAGTGAGTGAGTAGTTTTCCAATCAGAGTATCAGCTTAGATTTCCAACTGCTTCCTTGCTGACCTCTTGTGCTGCTGAATATTGGGTATGGAATATCAAATTTAGGCGTGTAGCACATTATGTCAAGGTTGTAGCTACACCATAAGGACTTGGTGTAATTTGGACTCCCAGCTTGTTCTGAGAATTGCTGAGCTTGTTTATTCTGTTCTCTGAAAGTCTACCTGTCTGTGGCTGTCACGGTGCCTGTGCTTTACATGAAAAAGGCCCTGAACAGCTACTAGAATCGTCAAAGTCAACAACAGCATAGCTGAGAAAAATGAGAAGTCAGCATTAGGCATGACATGTGGTAGCATCTCTTCACACATCGCACAGGAGGTTGTCACAGTGTGGCTGGGTCGGGTGGATGGACTGAGTAAAGCTGACATGCTGTTCTGTCCTATCAGGCTGATGTATGTTCCCAGTGAGGAGACTACAGTCCTCAGGAGCCACACAGCGCCTCCCCATCACCTCCACCTCCATCCTCTCTTCCGTTGTCTAGGGGCATGCCTTCTGAACCAGGCCTCAGGTAGGTGGCTCGGTCAGTCCACACATACATACTCCATGCTCAAGGTTTATGGCAAAAACAGAATATAATCATTATGTAGCGCTTTACAGTAGATGCACTGAAAAATGTACTGTCTGTTTCAGCGAATATACGCAAGGGACGACTAACTTAGGCCTTAGATCACTCTTCTTTTTTCAACCTGAGGAGAATCCATATAGGATCAATATGTTGTTCAGTGCAGGCGTTCCCGGGGTGCAGGCTCTGCTAGCTTTTTCCAACCCATTCAATCTTCTTACTGTGTGGATGTAGACAAGGTTACACAATGAAAATCCCCCTTAACGATAAAGCTGTTGACATTCTGTGTTTTTATTATTGTTTGCAAATTCCAATACAACGATCAACAACAATGTGATCGACTAAAAACCTTCAATACAGCATGTCTGTAGCTCTCATCCTCAAGCTGAATCATTCCTAATAAACATACATACTATATCTTTATAAACAAGTCACAAATGTATGTTTCAGGTGGGTAACAGGACCAAACTGTGTCGTTGTTGTGTTATTGGGATGCATTACCAGCAGCAGGACAGTGTACATGGGACTGACTTGAAATAAACTACAGTATCCAAATCTCTCACTTCATCATGCAACTGTCCTACTTTGATTTTTTTAATATGTGGTTATTGTTGGACAAGAATGGAGCTCTGTGGAATAACAGAATATTTACAGGTTATTTCAAAACTGGGCTGCCCAGTTTTTTACGTAAAATGGAATACACTGTATTTTTAAAACCAACATGTCCATGCAACAGTGTTCCCTGTTGAAAGATTCTATAATAAGACAGTGGCTTAAATTCTAAAGCGGTTTTACACATCAAGGTCAGTTAACTACCCACACAGAGGCAGCACTATTCATGCATTAAAAACAGATGTATTGACACTGTGGATCTGAGGGCGCTTTGTCAAGTTGGACAAATATGACTTCTGATTATATCATCTATGCTTTGAGCCTGTAGACCACGACTTTTTAACAGAAAGCCTGAGGTAAAGTGTGTTGGGCTGAAGGTTGAAACCAGAGACTGTGTGATATATGGGTCAGCTGATATTATCCTCTAAAATGGCTGATCACAGATATATAGGCATGGGTGTAAGTTGTCTAAAATGTGCCAATATTAAAAAAAAAAAAAAAAAAACTCTTCATGAAAATACTGAAAAAGATACTTGGAGTAAATTAGAAACGGTGTCATAGCATAGTTTGTCCAGCAGAGCAGGTCCATTGTCTGCAGCACATGTAACAGAGTATGCATCACATGCGAGCACACAGAGGTGTGATGTCAAGCAGTGTCTTTACAGTAAGCTACAAACAAGTTTGTGAAGTACATTGCTAGAAAGGCAACAAACAATGAGCCCATCATGTACTCATTTGAATACACTAACAAATAAAATATCGACCAACATGTCAGTATCGTTTTTTTTTTTTTTACACTCTAAATCGGCCACAGAAATCCTGAATCAGTCACGCTCTAATTGAAACGTGTGAGCAAAGAGAGTCTAACAAAATTAGTGGGAAATATGTATAGGATCCTTTATTTTTGGGATTCGACCCATTTAAGTCAGAATATCTGATCTTGTGCTGCTTCAGATTTGACCATTTTTTTGGAAACCAGCTTCATGTGCATATCTCATCCTCTAGTTTTTAGCTCATGAACAGAAAGATGATATTTTCATCTTTATATTCATTCACTCACCATCATCATCATCATCATCATCATCATCATCATCATCATCATCATCATCATCATCATCAAGGACATCAATGGCTTCCGTCCCTCTTCAAATCTCCCAGACCACCGCTCCCTCTCTGCGTTGTTAAATCCTGTAATATCCCTTCTTTCTCATCCAAAAAAGCAATTTTGTGCTTTTCTCCCCTGGCTCTCCCTTTGGCAGAGTCCAGCTACCAAACAAACAGCCTGAGTCATCATTCACGCTACTTCGGGCCCGGCGCGCGCACACACACGTCCGCCCACACACACACACTCATTATTTCCCCTGTCTTACACCCAATCACCATGAAGGTGACAGAGCAAGCCTCCTGGCAGGCAGCAGCATTTAGAGTGACGGCCGGGACTGGAAGTGGACATAGATGGATTTGGATAGACAGGGTGGTGTACTGCTGATGGATGGGTACAAGTGGAGAGGGACTGAGGATGGGTTGAAAAACAGAGTATATTTGCTGCTACATGGGTCCCTAGCATACAGTCAGTCAGTCAGCCAGCAGCACTCTTATAGACATGTTCAGTAGTCAAAGTATATCTCTTACCCACCACAGAGGATCAGACTTGAGAACTGTGGGACACATAGTGATGGACAGAAAGTGTTCTTCTGTAAGGGGTTAGAGATTTAAAAAAAAAAAAAGTCAGTCATGGCAAAGTATTTTGTGAGTCACTTGTCGACATTTCATTTCATTTCATTTGTGATGCATTTTCAAATCTAGAAAACAAAAAATATTTATATTTATCATAGTTCTACATCCTGTGCAAAAAAGAATATTTATATATATTTTGTGGTTATCCATCGTGTGTGTGAACATTAGAAAATGACGTCTATTTACCGCTGTTCAAATACACTGCAATACACTATCAGGACATTTCACTGAAAACCATTAAAATAAACCTCACTATGCACTGAAATAAAGAGAATCGTCCAACTGCAAATTAGGTTCACAAGCAAGATTAATTCCACTGATTCCAGTTAGATGTACTTAAATCATTTGGTTCCTCTTGAATGAAAAGTAAGCACTGCTGAAACCTAATTTTAAGGAAAGTCATCCTGAAGTTTCCATGTTTTCCAGCTTGAGAATTGGCTTCACACAATGTAAAACATGGTTTTATCATTACACCTGCTGTTCTGTCTTTTACTTTGTACTCCTACTTGAAGAAAACTGTGGTGGGGTTGCAGCAGGAAAAATTAGAAGAAACGTGGAAGTTGTGAACCAGATTTTCACACTGCCACTGCAATCAAGGGGAGTTTAAAGGGAGAAACTGTAATTTCAAGAATCCTTGAACTTGCCATCACTGTTGTAGAAACATTGGTGGGTTTCTTTTGGAACAGCATTTAACGTCGACTACATTTCAACTACACTTCTATCCATGTGGCACTACATGAAAAGTCAAATGGTGAATAAATTCAGTATGATTGATCCTCTGACAACCATGACTGTGCGTTTTTACAGTCATAGAATTACTAAATCCTAATTACTATTACATACATAGATAACAGTATTCCTTGTCTGGGAAATGTGACTCTTTGTTCATGGTAGCTCAACCACAGTTTGAAGATGTTTACATTATAAATAAGGAAAATGATAGCTCGTGGTGGTGCTACAGAAAAGGTCAGGGGATCATCAGAGTGAGTGGAAGTCATCCTCTGTGGATTTTGAATATCTGGACAAAATTTATAGTAGCTGTTGACACATTTAAGTAGTGGACTTTCCAGTGATACTACCATTCCAATGGCCTGCATTAGTATGACTGACACTGTGTCAAAGCAAATGTCCAGAAATGTAAAAGTAATCCTTGATAATTTTATGGCCAAATCACTGTGACCGCAACTAACCACTGCTTTTCTTAAGATGGTGGAAGCCACAAATGTTGAAAACCACTGGTTTAACCTTGTGACATTTTTTTAAAAACCGTGTTAGATGATCTATGGTGTCAATCTTTTTTAAGCAACTAGCATACAAAGCTGTTAACTAACTGCAGTTGTGTTGGAAGTGCAAAGATTTCCTTTAAAATGTAGCAAATGAAGTGTAATGTTGCATAGAATTGAAACACTCAAGTAAAGTACAGGGCTGCAGGGTGGCGCAGTTGGTAGCACTCGCAGCAAGAAGGTCGCTGGTTCGCGTCCCAGTAAGGACACCCGGGATCTTTCTGCGTGTAGTTTGCATGTTCTTCCTATGCAGTGTGGGTTCTCTCCAGGTTCTCCGGCTTCCTCCCACAAGTCCAAAAACATGTTGAGGTTAATTGGTGATTGTAAATTGTCTGTAGGTGTGAATGTGAGTGTGCTTGGTTGTCTGTCTCTAAGTGTAGCCCTGTGATAGACTGGTGACCTGTCCAGGGTGTCCCCTGTTTTCACCCTGAGTCAGCTGGGATAGGCTCCAGCCCCCCACGACCCTAGTAGGATTAAGCGATGTGTAGATAATGGATGGAAGTAAAGTACCTCCAAATTCTACTTAAATACACTACATAAGTGAATGTACTTAAATGCACTTTGTTTCTTTCCACTGCTGTTTTTTTCTAAAAGACTTGTATATATTAATTACTTTTGTTAATTATAGCAGTAGTAGCTGCTTTGTCTTCTCTAGTAAATCCATAAAATCCAGTTAATCAACATATCCTCCGTCTGTCTGTCTGTGTGCAGCAGTAGGGAGATGCTGACAGGACAGAGGCTCTGCCAGTCAAAGTCCCACCAGGACTCGGTCCTCGCTGCCCTCAACCAGCAGAGGAAGGATGGCCTGCTGTGTGACGTTACCCTGGTCGCCGGAGAGCAGAAGTTCCACGCCCACAAAGCCGTCCTGGCAGCGTGCAGCGATTACTTCAGGGTGAGTCCTTGGCTGTCTTATAAGCCTCGAAAATGAGCATTTCTAACTGCACAAGGAAGCAATGTGGGTGTGTAATTAAACATAGACCTCCTTCGATTTCTTTGTAAAGTGCTTAGACTGAAAGGATTGCACAGTAATCAAGCTGTTAATTGCCTTCAATAAAAAAAGAATTAATGGAAGGGTTCACAGGGTCCCAAAGTGGTATAAATGGGATTTAACATCCTGCCAAGAGAGAGGTATTGGGGAAAATTTGAGCTTTTCTTGTTATAAAAATGGTCACGTATTCATGCACAGATGGTATAAAATATAAAGCATTGACAGCTACACTGCTACTGCAGATCATCCTTCACAAGCCCACCTGGATCGAGCCCTGGTGTTTGCTTTCGCTTGGTCTCTTGCCGAGGCTTCAGTCTGATTCTAGTTAAGCCACAGAGGCAGCTTTCGGTATACTCACACTGTCAGGCAGCCAGACAGGAGATTTCCTGAGATGGGCCGCACAGGGAAAAGTGCACCGATGAGATTTGATTTAGGGACACTGAGCAGATTAGAAGGTAGAAATTAATCCCTTTTGAAAATGAGAGGCAGATTAAATATGTCCAAGTTGCCCAGGGATTATTCCTCCTGCGTGTGAGTGTGTGTGTAAATTATTTTTACTTCTCTCTGCAGAGAGCTGAAGGTGGGCGAGTCACACTCCTCTCCTCCTTTTGTTGGTCCTCTTCACTTTTGTTCTCCTTTTGTTCTTGGGCTCCGTTTTTAAAATGCCGCTCTTTCAAGTCCCACCACTGTTGTTTCAGCGCTTGGATTATTAGATCAGTCTGCTACAGCAAGCAAGAAAAACTAACTCCGCTCCACTGTTCCTCCGCAGTGGCTGAACAACATTATCTTCATTTTGTCGTCTGACTCCACTGCTGGGTTTAATTTAGTTCATTTACTGAGGAGATGAAGCTGCCTTGTGGAGGAAATAGCAACTGTGTTTGCCCTCCCTCTGTGGCTGTTTTTCTCACACTCACAGAGACAAACGCCCACACATGTTGCAGTGACTATAACACATTATCTAGTCCAGTGGACATGAGTGATTGTAATAAAATACCTGACCAAGCGTGAGCTGTTTACCTGGAACTTGTCCTGAATGTGTCACTTGCCTCTTCTAGTTCCATCACATGGCTAAGAAGTCTGGACAGCTCTGGGAGATATGGCCAAATCACACCAGCACCCTGCAACACACACACACACGCGCACACACACACACACACACACACACACATACACACACACACACACACTAAATCTCTCCTTGCTTTTATGTATTACAGAGAAATATTGTCTGCTTGCCCTGTAGCTAAAGCAGAAGTCCTTATTATCACAAATAAATATTTCACAACCCGTACTACCCAGAAATCTCCTGTTGCTGAATTCTTTCTCTAACTGCAGTGCTTTTTTAAAGACAGTATTTCCTTTAGTCGATATGATTTTATTCATCTTGTGATGTGCTTGATTTAACAATGTGATCTACTGTAAATCGATCCCTGAAGGGATGCTAGTGCGTGGGGATTTGGTGTGCGTTATGCTGTTACTGCACTCACTTCAATCTGTAAATAAATGGACACATATTCCGCGCTCCATATCTAATTGAAATATTGTGGATTTTACCTCCAGGTATTTACAAGAACAAAAAACCTGTTTAAGAAATTTGTATGCCAACTTAGGTTTTATTTGCCATGTTTTAGAAACAACAGGGCAGAACAACTGCAGCACTGATGTGAGTTCAACAGATCTATTGGGCTGCATATTATGTATCAGTAGACTGTACGTATGGAATAAATCTACAATACAGCTGCTGTCTGTGCTTAGACCTGGGTTCTGCTTATCATGCATATATAACTGAATTATCTCGATTTCATTGTAATTTGACACAAGCCTCGAATTTTGTGTTCTTCAAAGCTGTTGCTATAGCACCACCTTAAGCTTAGGATATGGTATTTATCCGTTGCATTCTTTAAGTTATTTCAACACAAAAATGTGTACTTGCATTATAACTGTTAATTACATATTGTAGGAGTTCAGTGGTTAAAATGAGCTCAACCTAAACACCTACAGCAGTAAACTGCAACAGACCTATTTGTGCAGCAGTAATATTAAAAACATCAGATATAACAGTAAAAGACTGACACAGAACATTGTTCTGCAGGAAGAGTACTTTTTCCAGATTTTCAATTCCTAACTCTGGTTTTTAATGCAGGGCTTGTTTCGTTCATCCATGTATAGACAGTTTATTTAAGTTTGGGAGGAAAAACCAAGTATGTCTGCCATAATTACAACTAGCCCTATACTACAGTCAGTTACATAGAACATTGGCACAAATCTCTTGTAAACTTTTGTACAGTTTGTCCCAGCGTCCCCACTTCAAAGAAGGCTCTTCTTTTGTTCTTAACAAATAAAAGTAGAAAAGAAAGTCACACAGCAGACATGCACAAAAACCAATACTGCTATGAATTTTTATAGCACTTTTCAAGACACCCAAAAGACACTTTAGTTAATATATGTAATATTCTGTGAATGTATGCTTGACAGCTGCAACATTAAAACCACTGACAGCTGAATTGAACAACACTGATTACCATATTAGAATGCAATGTTCTGCTGTGCATCCACGGGTTTTGACATTCAGGACTGGATGTTACTTTTTGCAGGCAAAGCACCCCCCACCCCAAAGACAGCAGCCTTTCCCAGCAGCATAATGTGCCTTGCCTCACTGCAAAAACTGCTAAGGAATGGCTTTAGGTATACCGCAAAGTACCAAAGGTGTTCATCTCTAAATTCTCTAGATTGCAATTTGATCTAGCATTCATAGGATCTATCCCAATAAGCCCGATCCACCATGTAACCTGCAGGACCCAAATAATTCCCTAGTCCATGCAACAGCATCAGACGGTTGATGGTGGTGAGCTGACTGGTGGTACAAGGGTTGGTTTTTCATGTTGTGCAATGATCGCTTCAAAAAAAACAAACAAAAAACACTAAATAAAACCACCAAAACACAGTATGAAATTAAAGAAGGGAACACCTGATGAAGTAGAGAGAGGTGGTGACACCATTATTATCACTCATTCAGTCACAGGCAACCTTTAACCCTGCACAAATTAAACAAGCAAGTAAATCACAGTGGTTGGGATTCTTGATGAGCCTTTCTGCACAATGCAGCCAGTTACCACTCATGTAAACATGCTGCATAACAGGTGGAAGTTATGTTGTCTCCTGTGGAGTATTTAACCACTGGTATCCCTATGGAGCAATGTTTTGGGTCCTGCTTTGTTTATATGCACACTTACAAGCACATTTATGGTGCAAATAATGTTCCTACCAATGGTTTCGCATGGTTCTATTGATTTGTGGGTGGTGATGGTCACATGGCAAAAAGGTGTATTAATGTGCAAAGGCAGAGATGAAGAAGACTGAAATACAAAACATTTAATGTAAAATGAAACATTTACAAGACAACTCCACAGGGCAAGCATGGCAGAAATACAGATTAAGTGGAAAATGTCTTTCTTTGTTCTCTACTGCTTTATATCATATTATCGAGCACTTTTAACAATGAATTACTGTCCATTCTTAATGCTGATATAGAAGGTAGAACTAATTGTAACTGCTTTATTTACAGCCAAGTAGTTGATTCTGTGCATAGATTGCAGGGTTTGTATATCAAATGTGATGGAAAAAAATTCCCTATCTACCCTCCCTGGTATGAAACAGTGCAAAATAGGAATATTCAAGTAAAGCACTTCACTACTGTTCTTGATTGCAGCACTTTAGTAAATGCACATATTTACATTCTGCCAACAGTTTCGGTGCAAGATACAATTTCTATGACAAATATAACATCACTTTAGAGGAAAAAAAAAAACAATATTTCTCTCAGACGTGGAAATAGCCCCACAGAACACTGTCATAGTTCAGTGGGTGCGTGAGGGAGTCACGTGTCCTCTCCGGTATGATCACACCAAGCAGAAACACATAAATTTTGCCGACAGGTCAGGCTAACTGCAGCGCTACACCCCCACTGCAGCATCGTGTGAAAGGACTGCAGTGAGCGTGTCTCTGTGGCTCAATGTGTCTCTGTGCTGGATCTATATCCCAACTCAGAGGAGCCATCCGTCACCACCAGCACTCCCTCAGCTCTTCCACCAAGGTCAGGAGCGCTGATGCTGAAGGCGAACAACTCTACAAACACTCTCAGGGTGCTGTCTCTCCTTCAATCCACCCGTTTTTCATGCAAACACACAACAACACAGCAGTGGACATGTAAAGTGTCTCTGTTATGTGCACTCTTTCTTTTACTTTCTGCCTGTGACTCTATACAATTTTCTGTCTTTGACACTCATGCACACACTGACCACAGTTCAGCCACCATCACACCTCAGGTGGAGCCACAGGCCCTCCTGTGCTCAGTGAACCAGTAGATTTTTAATTAGCGCAGTGGTGAATCAACAAGGCTGAGCTCTGAGGAGAGATGCACAGGCCTTGGTTAAAGCTCAACGTGGCCTCAAATTGACCCTGTCTCACCCGTCCCGCTCACAATGCAGAAGGGCCATTTGCCAAAGGAGAAGGGTCGTGCCTGGTTAAAGATCATGTGTGCTATGAATCAGGCAGAATTAGATGAGATCTGGAAGAAATGATCGCCATTTTCGTGACAGAAAAAAGCCTGCGATAACTGGCCAGCCTGCAGGCTTTTGAAGCTTATAATGCGGTTACACACCACTCCCTCGGTAGAGACAGAGTGGAGCGACTGTGCTGCAAACTGCCGCTGTGATTAAAAAGATACTTTAAAATTGCAAGTTGGCTATATCACTATCCTGAGGCAATCAAACTGTGAGGAAAGAAATTGTCTACAGCAGCTTCGATTACTTTTCAGAAGCAATCTATGGTTATGCTGTTTGTCCCATTACATCCAGAGGAAACATACAAACCCAAACTGTAAGCGGAAACCTTACTCTGTCTCCAAGATGACAGGTAGTTGAAGCGATCTCCATCGTGGCCACATTTGACCCATCGTCCTCCTCTCTCTTCTCCTCCACACTGCTGCGCTCTGCTGGTTGGCCCTGATCAATGGCTCTGTCATCCCACCATGGTGTGACACCGGTCAATAGCTTTGATTAGCGAGCAGCAAGCTGGACTCACGCACAGCAGGGCCAGTCTGCAGATGCTGCGTCCGCTGCTTTGATTTCACATGGAGTGTGGTGTGCGCACATGTGACTGTGTATGTGCCTGACTGCATGAGAGAAAGACAGGGAGGTATAACAGAAAGTACTGATTGTGCTATTTATTTCTGCTGACCTCCAGGGCCAAGGCAGGCAAATCAATACAGAAGGGTTCTAGGATGTTGTGTCTGGCAGGTTTTGATTCATTATGATGCAGTTTTTTTCAGTGCATATACATCTCAGTCTGTTAAAGCAACCTACAGATATTATATTGTCATCTTACAGTGTCAACACTTAAGGACTGGAGGAACAAAGCTGAATGGATTTTACCATTAGTGCTTGTGTCTGTTGGACATTTTGTAATGCAGTGCCCCATGGCTTGCTCCCAGTTTGCTTGGTTTTTTTTTGTTTTTTTTTTTAACCAAAGACAGAAAATGCCAGATAAAATATCTGTGATGGAGTGTTCCCCTGGCTGACCTCCCTCTTTTGGCTATGTGTTGTCAGGCCATGTTCAGCTTGTGCATGTTGGAGAGCGAAGCAGACGAAGTGACTTTACAAGGAGTGACCAGCGTTGGACTGAAGCACGCTTTAGATTTCGCTTACACCGGACAGGTGAGCATGAGCCTTTGTGGCAGTCACACCTCAACAGACAAAAAAAATTAGTTTTGTATGAAGAGACATAGAAAAAATAGACAAAATTGTGGTTCTCGCAATGATATTGAGAAATGACAGCTCAAAAGCACTTAGGCTGCAATACAGAAAGTGATAATATTTTATTACAAATGAATATCACATACTCAAATTTAAAACAAAAGTACAGAAGCCTTTTCATGTTAAATGATGTTTTGACCTCTCATTAGGCTCAGCAGCACTGACCCTCTGACAGGTGACTAACTCTGCCCTGATGAACCCTTTCCTAAGCCAAGTGCAGATGCTTTGCTGCTTAATCAGCCTTTCTATCTACATTGTATCTGCTTAGGCTACCCTACATTGCCTGGCCCCATCTGCTTCATAGGCAGTTTCACTTGAATACCATGGCCCCCACAGTTAGTCAGCCACTAATTAGCAGCCCCCTGGTGTGAGCCACTTTTCCACACATGAATCTTTCCGGGCCACAAAAGAAAAATAGTGTCTTCACTACTGTGTGAGTGGGTTGCACAATGCAGAGAACAGCCCTCAGGCTCAAACCTAAAAAAATGAAGTCAACATAAGCCAGAAACTACAGTTCCTCCAATGACCACTTGAGGCTGTTTCCAAAAGTGAGTCATTTCCCACAGACTTCTATGTTATTATACCCAACTTTACAGTAGTAATAAACATGCTTACAGTGGGACATGACAATGGTGTTGGTCTCTGTAGGTAATTCAATACAATTATGTTGTCATGAATGGCTTTCAAATGGTATTAATGCTTAAAATGATGCATTATGGTGGGTACAGTGGGTACTGTCACAGAGGTTCAGGAGTGTGGCAGTAGTGATGGTGAGGGCCAGACCCACATACTGAGCTTCACCGCTCTGCAGAAAACCTTGTTTGTTCATTGTAATATATAATTGTAAATTTTCGTATGTTTATATCTATTTTTTAGTCACTTTATTTTTTATACGCATCTATTTTAGAAATCTCCTGATTTTTGTCCTTGCACATGTTTTGTTAGTTTAGAATTGCTTCTTTGCACTGAATGGGATTGCACCTAATTTAATTGTGCTTTTTGCATAATGATATTAAAGATTCTGATTCTGATTTGGAATATCTAGTGAATGGATAAGGCTGGTATTTGGCTAATATTATTCTCTGAGAGAATGGTGGTGGCAGCCAGAAGCAAGAGATGCCGTCAAGCTGAAGAAGGAGTCCTATCGGTCATTTTTGCCTTGTGGGACTCCTGAAGCAGCTGACGGGTACCGGCAGGCCAAGCACGCGGCAGCTCGTGCGGTCGCGGAGGCAAAAACCCGGGTCTGGGAGGAGTTCGGGGGGGCCATGGAGGAGGACTATCGATGGGCCTCGAAGAAATTCTGGCAAACCGTCTCAGGAGGGGAAAGCAGCTCTCCACCAGCACTGTCTTTGGTGCGGGTGGGGACCTACTGACCTCGACTGAGGAGGTTGTCGGGTGGTGGAAGGAATACTTCGAGGGTCTCCTTAATCCCACCGTCACGTCTTTCGAAGAGGAAGCAGAGACTGTGGACTCAGAGGCGGACTCGCCCATCAACCGGGCTGAAGTCACCGAGGCGGTTAGAAAGATCCCCGGTGGCAGAGCTCCAGGGGTGGATGAGATCCGTCCTGAATACATCCAGACTCTGGATGTTGTGGACTGTCCTGGTTGACACATCTCTGCAACATTGCGTGGCGGTCGGGGACAGTGCCTCTGGATTGGCAGACCGGGGTGGTGGTCCCTGGGTTTAAGAAGGGGGACCGGAGGGTGTGTTCCAACTACAGAGGGATCACACTCCTCAGCCTCCCCAGTAAGGTCTATTCCAGGGTACTGGAGAGGAGGATACGACCGATAGTCGAACCTCGGATTCA